TGCAATCATATTTCTATAACCAACGCAAAAATCTTGCAAATCAGTGCAAATCCAGGAGATTTGTTTACCTAATTTCCATTCAGGGTTCCCCCCCCCCCTCTAAGCTATAGGAATATATTAAGCAGTGGGATAGAATCTTTTTTCCATCTATACCCTATACCATTTTATGGATGTGGGATTTTATGTTGTGCAGGTGTGTGAGAGCAGGAGAAAAGAAACACATTAGCAGATATTACACTTACAAGTCAAATGGCATTCCATTATTTAGTGGAATAAAATGAATAAAATAAGATAAAAATATTTACCTTAATTCAAAATTTGAAATGTCTAACATCATTGCTAATAAAGACAATTAGTTTATTATTCTAAAACAGAATTTTGTTGTTGTTGTTTGGGTTTTTTTTTTTTTTGCAAAATTATCTTGGCTTTCTGTTAATACAGCTAAAAGAGTAGCATTAAGAATTACTTCATGTACTGCAAAGCCAGCAGAGGGAACACTGAGTACTGATTTAGTAGGGGCCACCAAATATCTGGTATTTGGGAAAAAAATGTCAGTAATAGAGAACTGGTTATAAAGCATATGAAGTTAGGTAATGAGAACACAAAAATCTTTTCTCATTCTTTGGTATTTAGAGGCCCAATACATTCCAGCATGCACATACTTACTCAGTTGGTGAGAAAGATGACTTTAATAAATGGCCATTTGTCATATGTTTTCTTATATTCTAGGAAGAGAAATACTGACACTTAAGAACAGACCTATTTCAGAAGTCTAAGCACTCAAATATATATAATCATCTTATGGATTGTCAGTGGAAGTTACTAATAATATATTTTATCAATTCTAAGAGGAACTTTTCATCTTAATACCTCTAAAATTGGGAAAAATTGGGAGGTATCTTATAACTAGGGGGATGTCACAGTTTCATTGGCAGTTTTTCTTCCTTGATGGCATGTGACATAATGGCGTGTCTTAAAATCTGTTGGATTTGTTGAAATATACAATATACATCTAACCAAAGAGTTAGGCCAGTGGCTATTTTTTAGTACATCCTTTAAAAAATCTGTGGGCTTTAAGCATAAACAGAATTACTATGACTGCTTGATTAACTTTCACTTTTCCTCATCTATTCGATAGTGGAAGCATAAATGACTTAAAAATATAATTAATTATATTGATATGCATCTTGACTGAATTATCAAACTAGCTACACCCTCAAAATCATTAGTTGGTACAAACCCCAAGATAAATATAATATTTATTATTTTTTATCCTAGTGAAAACATTGATTTTATAGATAATAGACCTCTTAGAATAATTATTATGTCAGATTGATAACATTTAGGAGTGTGTTTGTGCATACCAGAGAAAATTAAATGTATGATAACATACCAAATTTATTATGCAAAAAAGGTGCCTTGTGTTGTTGTTTTTAGGATTTGCTTCCATTTCTAAAAAAAAAAAAAAAGGTATATAGCTTGGGTAGCTAATGGTCAAAATTTATTTGCTATTACACCACAAAATCTTTTTTGGGTGGGAGGTGCAGCTGGCCAGGCCGTTAGGAGGATCCGAACCCCCACCCTCTACCAAGTGAGCTGACTGGCCAGGCCCTAAAAACATTTTTGCTTGTGGTTGGTCCTTAGTGATCCAGTCAGATGTCTCCATAGGGTGTTCTTTCAGGTAAAATTCTAAATCTGACAACCTGGGCCTCTTGCCAGCTTACATATTTTAAAAGTTGGACAAGATAAATAGAAATCTACTATTTAGCAGTAATTTGATCTGAACTGAAAGCTAATTTAATTATGTTGGGTTGGCCTTACCTACCTACCTATGGATTACATGAATAAAATCAGTTTACTACTATAAGTGTTAAAAAAGTCAATTTCTACTAAATTCTAATTTTCAGACCTTGGGAAAGAGGTAATTTGTATGGCCAAATTAACTTGTATTCTGAATACTTTGTCACATTCTCCATAGTATTCTTCATGAAATTCCTTTATTTTAAAATCACTGGGATGACAGGGTTGCCACTCTTGTCCTTGAATGGTTCACATCTATGATCTGTGATTACTTCTTCACATCAGTGGCCATCCTCAGTTTTAGTCTTTGAACAACATGCTGCTTTCACTAGAAGTGTCTCTGGCATTTGCATTTCCAAGGGAAGGATGTGAGTATTCATTAAGGGCTTACCATACATCAGATGCTTTATAGTCACAAACTCATTGAACCCTTACAACAATCCTCTATAAAGTAATTCCTAGTGTTCCCATATTGCAGATGAGGAAAACTGAGAGTTGGTCACAACCCCACGGTGACAAAGCCAGTAAGAAGGATTAGCAGCCAGGTAATATGAATCCAGAGGCTCCATTCTCTTCTGCTATCAGTTATCACCTCTTTCCAGTTTCACTCTGCCTTGATCTTTTAGTTCTATTTGATTCAAGTAAGAAATAAATAGGACAGAATATATAAGAAGGAAAGGAGGAGGAGGACTTTGGGAGGAGGAAAAGGGATAGAGAGAGAAGCAATGTTTAATTCTGAAAATGTAGAAAACAAATATTTAGAAAGCAAAATCGATTTCCATCCTTTACTCAACATTATCATCCTAAACAAAACTGTGGAAATTTGCCCATTGAAGTAATTATGGAGCATTGCCTAATGTGTTTCAAGGGAAAACTCTTCTGTTTGGGCTATCCAGGATTTATAGGGGAGTGTAAATCATTAAATAACCATAGTTAACCCTTGAGAGTGAGGAATCCTCTCCTCTGCTTTCCACAAACACAGAAACTGTTTTGGAGGGATTTACACAACACATCAACATCTGTGCTGTACCTAGAGTTGTTAAAATAATTGTGATGACAGGTGTCTAGGCACCACTTTCTTAATGTTTTTCAATATCCATTTATTTCTTGTTGTGGCTTTCCCTTCTCCTTTGTATCTTTGGCTTTAAGGAGCCGAGGAACAGATTTTGCACTAGAGGCTGATTCTTTATTCCAATGCTGAAAAGAACTAATAAAAATAATCACTTGGCTTTTAAGCAGAAAGCCTCCATTTACAGTATTTCACTCTTACCCCCCCTTCCAAGCCCCTTGTTATCTAACATAATGGTTAGAATACATTTCCGTCTCTCCCCTTAATAATTTCATGCATTAACATCCTCTTCACACACACCACGCGCGGGAGAGCGCGCGCGCACACACACACAGAGCAAAAGGAAAAAAGAAGCAGCAGAAATCTCAGCTGTACTTCTAGCCCTTTTAAAAAGTTTGCTCTGTAAATTGGAATGAGGTCAGATTTGGAGCTTCTCATTGCACGCGGAGATTATTATTGCATCGGGTTCCAAGCCAATGGGAAGCCCGGGGGAGGGGCTTGGCACGAGGAAGCGTTGGTTACAGCGGCTGATTGGCTGCGGCCAGGACTGTGAAAGGATAAAGAGGCGGGAGGCGGAATTGGGGTCTGCTCTAAGCTGCAGCAAGAGAAACAGTGTGTGAGGGGAAGAGGCCAGTTTCGCTCCCGGGTCTCTAGTTCTTGCACGCTCTTTAAGAGTCTGCATTGGAGGAACTCTGCCATTACCAGCTCCCTTCTTGCAGAAGGGAGGGGAAAACATACATTTATTCATGCCAGTCTGTTGCATGCAGGTTTTTTGGCTTCCTACCTTGCAACAAAATAATTGCACGAACTCCTTAGTGCCGATTCCGCCCACAGAGAGTCCTGGAGCCAGAGTCTTCTGTGCTTTGCATTGTAGGAAAGGGACTAAGTGATAGAAACTATGTCGCTTTCCTGAGCCACGGAGAGCGCTCGTGAACTGGAATCAACTGCTTCAGGGGCCAAAAAAAAAAAAAAAAGAGGGAAAGAAAAAAAAAAAAAAAAACTTGCCTGGGAGGCGGCGAGATACTTGCATTGGAAGCTTCAGCAACCAGCATTCAAGAAACTCCTCTCCACTTTAGCACGGTCTCCAGACTCAGAGCCGAGAGACAGAGCAAACTGCAGCGCGGTGAGAGAGCGCGAGAGGGAGAGAGACTCTCCAGCCTGGGAACTATACCTCCTCTGCGAAAGGCGGAGTACTCCTTCCCCGCAGCTTCTGGCGACTTTTCTCTGTTCGCCCACCTCCGCCCCGGCCAGGAGGAGTTGAGGGGCCCGCTCGGCCGCCGCGCGCGTCCTCCCGCTCGGCGTGTGCTTGGCCGGGGGAGCCGGGAGGGCCCGGCGATCTCG